ATATATAGTAACTTGACCTTGAAATATGCGACCTTACAGGAAAAATTAACCAAAATTTAACCTAACCTTTCGTCCTACTTTTTGCTCACGTGGGTATACATACTCAAATAGTGCCGTATATCATACAATCAAAAAAAATGCATTTAATAAGGATATACTGATCTTGTTTCGACTTTGACGTTAGTTAAAACCACATCAGTTACTCGAGATATGGATCATTGCTTAATCCATATATTTAGAGAACAAGAGAAAGCAAGGCAAGATGCCTTCGAATCTGTCAAACAAAAAAGCAGAATGTTATCGTTAAGTGTTTCCTTCGTGCAGCTTTCGTCATCAGATATTTTTCCCAGTAAAAATGTTTCGTTATATTTTATCTGCATTAGGTTGTGTTTATTTAGAGACAAGTGTCTGCTAATATACTTAGTGTAGGCACGACACTTATCTCCACAAATAACAATATTTATACGGGCCTTTGGTGAGCACAACAATCAATATAGTTTATTAAACATATACTCTGTGATTATTTGATGCTTCGGGGTCAGCAAATTTTCATGTGGATTCCGTCTGGTTGCCCAAATCCACCTGTCAGTGACGACAATGTCTGAAAGGCGATACAATAAAATATTGCTGAAAGGAAATTCGACAATAAATGCTTATATAAGAAATGAACCCAGTGCAACGGTCTGTGCACCATATGCGCGCCAACTTCTTTCAGATGTAATCCACATATTAGTAAATAAAAATCACTGCAAGACAAAGGAATTGTTGCTATCAACAACAACGAATGACTAAAGCTGGTTGTTGCTATTACGATCACTGCGTTTAAATGGCAGTTTGAAGTAATCACTAGCCTCTAAAGGTCGAAGCGCGTGATTCATGAGGCTCAATAGTGTGTCGCACAGATTTGAATTCGTTTCGTTGATCCCTCATTTGCGATTCTTACTATTCGATCGAAGACGAGTTGAGACAACCAGTTTAGCTCTCTTGTGAGATCATAGCAGACGAATTATTTTTTTTAAAGACACATGTTAGGAGCAGCGACCATTGCCGAGCACAAATTATCCTTTAAATGTTCCATTAAATGCCCTCCATTCGAAACAATGCCACAGATGACGCTGTTAGCATAAACCTCGTCTCACAAATTTGAGAGCAAATTCGTGCCGTATTGCAAAAAGAACGTACTATCGACTCTTTTTTAAGCTGTTTTCTCGTCGAATCTTTGATACGACAGGTCCTGTCCTCACGGACCCATAAAAAGTAATTCATTTCCGATCTCGAAATTCAAAATGCCTAGTACTAAACGCCATATTTACCCAACATCCGCGGTTAAGCTGTTACACGGTACCGTTATAGGTTTCAAAATAATATAGAATAAGGAGAAGAACACACAGCATCGGTGCTACTTCATATAACCCAGCTAAAAGTAAGTACGACGAGAAAAGTCACTTCTAACTTTAACGCATTGTTTACGCAATCGTACCGCAAGCGATCCGCTTTTCGGGACTCAATGGCACACTTATCGGACGCACAGCGATGATGCTGTTAATAGCGATAGACACTCGTGACCCCTATAAAATAACTAATATTCGAAAAGAAAGTTCTTTATCGTTTAACGCGTTTCCTCTTATTGGGATTATGACATAGGACGCGTAAAAATTACGGTGTTTTTGTATATTTGACACGTTATGCCAGCAATCTTCCCATTCAAATCGCATCAAACGACGTCTGCATCTTCACGGTGATAAGTGTCATTTTGCGCAAATATCGGATACTCGATTTCTAATCCAGTTACAACCTCGAATATGGATCCAGATTTCAATCAGCCAAGATTTTGAGCTCATTTCAGATTACTTGACGTCAGTTTTTGCTTTTTGCAGTTGGTAGCTATTTGTATAGATATTAATAAAATTGACTGTTAGATTTATTTGGCTGTGCGACTGTCACTTAGAGAGTAAGCCGTACGTTAGGCCTTCAATATACGCATTATGATGTTGAAGTTACTAAACCCCCACACCTAGGATACTGGTACACCTCTCTGACAATGCACCACATAATTCGTAAGACCTATTGGATTATATTGAGGCGAAACGATACAAGCTACTGGAAATAATTCAAAGAAAAACTTAGATAAGAAAGGCTAATAGCAGGGTAATAAGAATGCATGAGATCAAATTGTAGGTCATCCTAAAGCGGTTCCGGCTTTTCTTTTTGGTGTCCTAAGCTAACGTTAGACATATCCGCAAGCATTTAGAATGCATAAAGCCCAAAACAGCCAAACTAGATTAAGCAAACTTGTTGGAACCACGGCAGATGAGAGGAAATTGGGGTTGAAACCGGAGACCTTTGGGTCTGCAGTCGAAAGATCCCACAATGAACTTTAACCCACAGTTCGTACGACAAATTCCCTGTCAAAAAATTGAATATTGTTCAGCAATATTGCTGCAACAATATATATCAGCAAGCTGATAAGTAGTAAGTTTTTAATGTCTGCATTATGTAAGTCTCATCGTGACGTGACGCGTTAGATGTTGAATCAGTATATCACTATAATACTTAGTTTTATATATGTATTATTTTTTGCTTGCCACACAGTTTCCTACGCTGATAATTCTGTATAGCACGATAATTCGAAGCCTCGAACAAGCAGTTTTTCATGACACCATACGCGAATATGGTAAAACGAACTCTGTAGTAGCTGCTGAGTATGTCGTGCCCTCGTACTCTCAAAGACCTGGTCATATATTCAGGGAAATACGTCTAAGTTCACGAAGCACAGGTCGCGTAGGGTAACATTTAAGCGGATTGCGTATTTTGTTTGCATGTATTATGCATACTAAAGTTACCAGCGTCTTTTTGAGATAAATTGCCAGCGGCCAACGTCAATTGCACTGATACAACAAGGGTACTATATGAATGCTCACACTTCTGACGCCTATTTCTGGTTGCTTCATGTATAACAACATTCTTACAACAGATGAGAACTGTCGCTCGCCTAAACATAGGTTGGTGGCCGCCTGTGAAACCTCAAATTGCAAGAATGATTGCTCTCTTCTTCCGGAAAAGTAGTTAGTTCTACTAATACACGTTATTTTGAATCCAGTTTCACTAGAAGAAACTTGCAGTACTGATTAGTATACCCATGCCGTAGATACATAATGATACGTTTAAAAATGCACCCACAATCGTTTCTGTAATTATTTTGCCTTTGTTTTTCGCTTGCGTGCTCTAGTTATTTAGAGCCAGTGCCTTCGCAGGTCGTATCTCTGTGGATCTTACCAAACTGAAGTGGCAGGATCGGAAACCACGTGTGCAAAGTCGCGCACGTGCAGAACGTGGAAAACACGCACACTGAACATGACCATCACGCAACAGCGTGCTCACTACTGCCTCAGAAAATAAAGGTCAACCTTCAATAGTCTTACCTTTTCTAGTTGTCATTTTTCACGACTGTTATTGTTGACGAAAACAATCTGATGTTATTGCCTTCAATAGCCGATGAAAACTGTATTATTCGGTAATGGATTATTTATACAGATCATAATCTAGACGAATCTATAAATTCTACGCCGCGGTGGCAGCACGTGTCTCGGTGCAGATACTCTAACAATTGAGGCCAACTCATAGATTTAATTTTAATGATATTCAGACAAGAGCTTTCTGCTTGAAATTGTGCTAGTTCGCGGAATCGTTTTTGAAGTAGTCGAAGGAACCAGTGGTGTCAGCGCGGGGAGGCAGAACGAGGTCTTGGAACTCGCTCAACTTTAATTATATAATTAAACTAAGCATATACGAAATCATTTGTCTTAAGTATTTATTTTGAATTGGGTAGTAAAAATAAAGCTTTATCCATGTCAGTGACAATCGGATTTCAGGCGCAGTTTTGTGGTTGAATATTTGATTGTTTACTGGGACCATACTAGCTTTTCACTATTACCTATACATTTTACATGACGCTATGGTTCTGGTTGTTTGTACGGTTTTTTCACGGCTCCACTGCTATAGATGCATCTTGATTCTACCACATATGAGAGCTTGATCCCTATATCATACAATCTCACACTATGGTCAAAAATTACGCGAAAATTCTGTTGTTCAAAGTAGCTGCTTCCTCTCGAACAATTGCCATACTGCGCCACTCAAGTATTGTTCTCTGAGCGATATTAACTGAAGAGTGTTCAAAGACGGCGTGTTCTGAAGATACATTGCTTTCGGAATTATTAGAGTAGAGCTTGTTCCTTAATTACAATATGTGTTTATAACAAATTGTCAATAATGAAGTTTAGTAAACGAAGTATTTCAATATCTTCTCTCGAACGCGCTGTGGCTTTATCTGCGTCTAAACGACATGATAACAGAGTCGTAAACCGTAACCAGTGGTCGACGACTAGCGTCTAAGATTAAATGAAACATCCGAGATAAACTAGAACAGTCACTGACAACTATACCTTCTTATGTCTGTACTAGGCATTATAGTTAATTCTGTTCATGTGGCGGACACTGTCATAATTCTGTAGTTTTTTAAACTCTTTGTCAGTGAGTGGTCTCCATGACGGGTCTCCCATTAACTGACAGACTTCAGCAAAGCAAGCCTGCAAAAGGGGCATAAAATAGTGCACAATTATTCTTTTACTATCGATTCAATTATACTTTAATAGATATTAAAACCTCTGAGACATCCAGTCACGAACAGAACAAACGCACCGGGGTGGCGGTCAGGTAGACTGATTCTAGAACAGTCAGTCTGCGCGCTGAAGCTGCATACTATTAGCGATTCAATGACTAACCGTTTTTTCCCCAGCGTTTTATCAAGAAAGTATGGTTTGTCTCAGGTGTTTTCAACTGAAACTACCGAAGTACTCTGGGTCTCAAACGCAGATAATATGTTTCAATTGCTTACTTTGTAAGTCGTCGAGCAGGCTTTCACCCATTGTACAAACTCTGGGCTCCATTCTGGGCTGGGCGGGAAATCGAATCTTCGTTTAATTCCATTGGCTCGTACGATTAGCAGTTCGAGATTAGAGCGACTTCCATAGTAGGCAATTAGGAGAAGCGTGCATGTGGAAATTACCTGATACGTAGATATTAATTATATACTGAATTGTGACAGTTTTGTCAGAAAGTCTTATAGTTTGAATGGCAGCCATTGGATTTTATATCATATTACCCATAAGAATTTTTAAGGAAATTGTCTACACATGTTCTCTAGAATGCACATACCTCCCGGATGATAAGTCTCTGTAAGTGGGTACATTGTCTAACGAGAAGCAGCAGTGATGAGTCGCACCTTTCCGAGAATTTCTTGCTTTGTGGAAAGCGGGGTAACCCCAGGTAAATTAAATTACGCAGCCCATTTCCGTACAAAGATGTAGCCAGTACAGCTGCTTCAGCTGTGAGAGGCTTGAATCGTGAGTCTATAACAACGCTTTCAACGGGACACCGCTCCTGCCAAATGAGCTAAGAAAGCACGCATGCCGAAGACACAAAGGATTGTTTACTGACACACATAATTGCAACGGATCTAAAATTTAAGAAAAAAAACTATGTTAAGTACGAAAATCATAAACCTATATCGCTTACATCGGTTCTGGCCCTTCCCTGCAGGACAAGTTGCACCTTGATAGCTGGATTAATCCTATGAAACTCTGTCCAGTACTTTGCTGCAACTACCATGCCTATCTGGGTGTACTGATTTTGAACCAGATGCATCTCCTGTAAAAAAAAATAAGTAACAGCTTTCAAATCCATAGCAAGTTATATATGAATAAAAATAAAAGGGCATAGAAAATGTGTGTTGCGCAAAACCGAAGCTCATATATATATATTATTTCCATCCCCTTTGATTTGGCATTGTCGCCATTACATGAGCATGTCAATCCGTACCTACCTGGAGCCTACGGCAGCCTTCAGCGATCACTCGTAAGGTGTCCTTGTGTAAGTTTTGAGGGGACATGTACAGCACGCGCAGATGAAAGAATGTACCAGGATGCAAAAACGTAACTGGACCACGAGTCAAATTGGTAATGTTGAGTGTTTCTAACGAAAACATGCAATTAGCAGCAGCTTCGTCAAGCAGACTCGTAGCTTCGAAGGCATTATCCAATAGTAAGTTCGTTAGAATCAGGTGACGCAGAAAGCGTAGCTCAGTCAGCAGGTCCTTGACACCCTACTCGATAATTTCGTAGTTAGAAAGATCATTCATTCAATTCTTGTTTTTGCGAGTCAATTAAAAACAGTTAGATTTAAATAATTCCTCGCATCGAAAACAACCTTTCTTTGTCTAAAATTCAACTTTTATCGACGGTTCTATATAAAGCAAATCGATTAATAGAGCAATACAAGCAGATCTATGTAACGCTAGTCACAGACTAACAGGGCTACATTACTGCCTATCACAAGAGATCCTCTAATGGGGAAAATTTAGTATCACGAACTTGTACCGCATGTTTTTCATTTCTTACTTTCAGAAGCTGTCCTCCTGTTCCGTATACCACGTTATCGTGATGCTGACCAGTACCCTGTATGTGATCCGGTGAAAAGTTAAACTCAAATGTGTGCAGGTTTCTGAACGCCTCGACACCGATCCGTTCGCGTCGCGATTTGCTGAAGTGGGCAGCAAGAGTGACAAAGTTGAATAGATTCATCAAAGTCGACATCGGTTGCACGTGGATAGCATGCCAATACGGTGCTGATTGCGCATGAAAAGCATGAAACCAAAGATGAAGGGTGTTAGGTGTTACCATATATGTGAAAAAAATCAAAAAAAAAAAAAACCTTCCGAAAATACCAAAAAAATACACTTTTAAATGATGAATCCTAACCGCGTGTACTTCCTAAGATTGTTCATCATTGAGTGTGTGACATTTTTTCAAAAAGTTCAATCGAATTTACCAAAAAAGTAGCACAAATTCAACATTTTTTTTTTTTCTATTTTTCTTTCGAGTACTTACACACTTTTTGTAAACAAAATTGCATACGGTAATGGTCGAGTTCATATACGTAGCCAAAGTATCTGGTATACTTTCGCTTGGTCAGTGTTCGATCGTTGAGTATGAAATGTCGCCAGCATCGTGGCAGATGAAAGGCACGGTACCAATTACGACACACCTGTATTTAAAAAGAAGCTATTTTTTCATAGATATATCTCAAATAAGAGCCTGTGACGGAAGCAAATTTTCCTGACAACTATGTCCACGTTCATTGGGTTCTGTACGGACCTGTGACATGCTGTGTTTGTCAGGAATATTGAGATGTCCCATTATTTGTTCAAGTACAACGTCTGGTAAATGTTCCCATCGGACAACATAGCCTCGCCAATATTCCGGGTTGAAGACATCTTTCCAATCCTTAGCATGTTTGCCTGAAAATTAAACGTTTCTCTGAGTTTGAGGGTGCAATATCTGTATTTCGCTATAGATTCTATCACGAGCTAATAGTTAACATGATATGATCATCATCATCATCATCATCTAATCTCAGTTAAGTAAATAAATCGTATTTTCCTTACAAATATAGCAAAATAGATACCTTTGTATCGTGCTAGTAGGGAGGTGCCATCTAAAAGCTTTTGTCGAGGTTTGAAGCCGATGGTTTCTCTGTTCTGCTCTTCAGCAGGATCATCTTCTATAACAAATAAGTTCTCGTGGTCGTGTTGGCCTGACTGGCGATTGGATGTTGCGTATAGCCGAATAGGCGATATATGACAATATGTTTAGTAATAGCATGTGATATATTTTTCGGATGGTTTATTAAAAAAAAAAAAGAAAAAAAAATACAATCTCTTGCCATAATTCGCAAAATTTATACACACAAATATTTATGCGTGCATGCATATAACTACCTCATCGTCATGGGGGTTATAAACATCGCAACACATCACGGAGGTAATCGACACAATCTACAACAAATCACGAAACCCTGAGCACATCACAGATCGCCCCAGATCAGGTCGCCCACCATTGCTTTTCATAATGTTTACCGGTCACCTTATAGAGAAAATAATAACCAACCGACCGGCCGAACCACTTTCCAGAAGTCAATGTAAACAAAATTGCCCTGCCGGTCAGTGAGCTGTTGTTATACACATTTTCACTAGAAGAAACCCGTTTCGAAATACGCCAAGTCTTGTGTTTTGTTCACTGAGAATTAATACGCAAGGGTAAATGTTCTTGCGGTCTTGTCTAGACGATAGCCTTTACATTGACTAGTGCTGTTGCCCGTAACAAAGGCAATGTCTAGAATCGGACGAAGCAGCCTTGGCTTCGAGCAGCTAGTCATGGCCTTCCTGCAAATAGAGTCTTTCGCTTTCCCGGGAGATCGTCGAGTAAATCAGAAGAGAAAGAGTTGCGGTTACAAATAATGCCCTGGGGCGAATCTACCGGTGTATTACACAAGAATGCTGTAACAGTGAGTTTTTAAAGGAATTACTGATCCTGCTACAAGCAATTTTTAATTATCATATTTTAGTTACTTGCTCGGCTCCTAGAAAACCTGTTTCATCAAGTGAACTGCATATGCCGTCTGTTAACAGTAATCTTATTTAGTTTAATTAAGTTTTTTTTTTTATGGTTTAGACGGCATACAATAAATGGAAGTTTATCTATCCTTAGATAGACAAAACTGCGGGAATACACCAACTGCCATTTATACAGGTTGGCATTTTTTTTATATATATATATATATATATTATTTATATATACCTTCGACTCTTTTGAAGCAGCAGGTGCTTTTAACTTACGCGTTGCACAACCGTAACTTGATTATCATTAGTTCTGGACCTGACTAATTGACCACTGCGGTGGCAGAGCGAGCAGGACGAAACATCAAATCTTAAGCTTGATTCCCACTAGGTCCGATTTCAAATTATGTCGTATTTATGTGTAAATTACTATGAAAAAAAAATCTAGTCCTCACCATACCACAGGTATTATTGCCCATTGGCGAGGCACTAAATCCGGGAAGTTCGCCAGTACAAAGAGGATACATTAATCATGATCAACGAAAAACTGTAGCATCCTTAGGTTTAGTATGATTTTATTCCGTAACTTTTTACCGCAGCAAAAAGTTAACCGTAAATGTTGCACTCTAGCAGAAGTGAAACATCATCAAAAAAAAGCTGGGGGACGGAATAATCTATTTGTCGAAGACTCTAAACTATCGCTGATTCTGTTGATTAGCTGTACCCGCATCGACCTTAACGTCTAACTGTCACGTAATAGATCAATTTCAATGTCAACAAAACCGTACGCCCGACAAAAACCCTAAGGCATTGATGTGCCTTACCGCGAAACTTCTCTAGCTTATTGGCTTTAGTTATATCAATTTGATGTATTCTTTTTACGATCTTCGGAGCGCATTGCCCGTGACAGGCCCGTCTGAAAAAAATGAAACAGAAATAGAAAAATATCAACTTGTTCCTACCTATTCGGTGGCTGCGAATTTACCTTGTTAGCGTCACTGTGGAAGTACGGCTGACTGTAATTAAATTTCAGCTAGAACGAGCTTAGCACACCCGAACTAGAAAGTAGGCCGCTATGTAACCACTGTATCGCTATGTGGTCAGACAGAAGTGCCCCTTATATGTGCGCTTACTGATTCGTTTCCAATGCAATGAAGAGAACTTCGAGACAATTTTACCGTCACTGCTCGGGTCGAAATTGGATTGACTTTCGTTAGATGCGCTCTTCGGTGGACTCTTTTGTAGACTTTCCTGGAAGCTTTTCGGTGCAATCTCCTGTGGATTCCTGCGCCTGTTTTTAGGTGAGGGCTGACCAAACAGCAATATCTCATTATCTTCTGGCTGAGAAACTTGCCCAAACAAATCTGAGAATCAAGCGAGTGAAAACCGTTTAATCTGTATCACCAGAAAAAAATATTGCAATAAAAGCCACGTTTCGCTTCTTCCGGTCTCCTTAGCTATATAAATTTTGCGCCATTGTTAGTTTTTATACTTTAGCAGTCCTGTAAGGATGCGCGAAAGCTTCCCAAATGACAGGACCACTTGTTAAGTTTCCACCTTGTAAGTGTCTCTTCCCGAGTGTTTAAATATGTACAAACTATTAAGTAGAACATGAACGATGTCCTACCTATCAATTCGTTAAGCACAGGACGATTCTAGTGCAATAAAACAAGCGGCTAATTCTAATACACTCAAGGTTCGTAACGAAAACAACCTCACCTAGCCGTCGCGGTTGGGTAGAGATTACACATTGCGAGACGCCACCTTAAATACGAAATCAATTTATCATATACTAGCAGTCAAGTACGGGTCTGCGAACTATATAACTGATACAGTCACGTACTTTACGGTAACGTATCTAGCTATTTCTTGGAAAATTCGACCTAGACCTAATCTTAAGGCCTTGAGCAGGCGAATTCGGCTGGCTGGCTGCCAGCCAGCCAGTAAAATACACAATCAATTTGCACGCCTAAGCCGCCTGCTTCGTCAAAAACGACTCAAGATCCGTGCATCCAGCAGGTTAAATCCCCTCAGCTAGGACACAATCCTGTCATTTTGTGCGGAGAGGGGACATAAAGTTAGAACTGAGCTCGGTCCACCTATTGGGAAAAACCACAAAAAACACTTTGCTAAGGTACCAGTTAATATAGCAAAACGCGGCAAAGTACACAGGGAAATGCATACGTCGTTGAGTCTTGAATGACGTAGTGTCTTCTTCCGACTCACCAGTGGAAGGGCACCACGTTGAAGGATTTCCTAATCCCAGAACAAGTAAATGACAGTATTATTAGGGCAGGATCCGTGACTTCAGCTGGATTCGTTGACTTTCAGTTGCTCACGAGTACTTCGTTTATTAGCAATAAAAGGAAAGTAAGGAGTACAAACAGAAAAATCTACTTCGTAGATATTTCCACATCCTATAATATTTGGCGTACCAGTATACTATATAGTATGTACGACCGACAATTGCTGCTATCAAAGCCTGGCGCCGATTTGACCGCGCTGAACTATACGTTGTAACTTGTAACTCAAGCAAGCTACCTTTGCGGCCCTGCTTCGAGGTTCCGTTACTTGTGAAGTCATTCATTGACAACAATACAGATGATTATATTTTTCGCTTCTGATAAAGCTCAATTTTGGTCTCGTTGTCTTTGCTTAACAATGTAATAGTAAAGAATGCCCGATGTCAGATTATGTCGCTTAATTGTGTACTATTATGCAAGTAGAGGTGCTCATTTTTGGGTAGATACTTTATTAAAGAGGTAATAACAACATTATTATATCTATTAATTGAGGACTGTGCAAAATTTTTGAATCATTGAAACTTTGAAGAGTTTTCCTTTCAGTTTTTCACAGACTTGCTCTCCGTCGGTTTAAGGAACGCTTGCCATTTAACAACATAGGCTGCCTTTTTTTATATCGAGTACAAAATAAAGATGCAAACGTCATGTACAATCACACAAAGACTTTTGTTTGAAGTGGTAGAATATTTACAGCTAATGTTTAAAAATTATTTTATCTTTATGTCATACGCGTTTTTAACCAAAATTCGGAAGATCTCTATCGTCGGTTTCAAGTTGAGGTTCACTTCACGATCGAAATTTGCTCGTTACGTAGCAACTAATATTTCGATGGAAAGAAACAGAGGGCTATAATAGTTACAGGTAATCTTCGATCCCTTCGTCGATATTTGTCTACGAGAACTTATAAATAAACGAAATTATTGGATGCTTGTGAGGGAGAGTCATCACAGAAGTTAGGTTGCGACCAACGTAGGAGAATAGCTGAGATGAAACTTTCGAAGAGTTCAGTGGTAGACCACAAACAGCTGAATGAAACATTTCCCCGTCCTCAATGCGGGTTCGTTAACACGCTGTACATAGAACTATGTATTGTAACATATACATTTCGAGCAATCAACCATCGCCGTATGTCGGCAAGTCAGTCACAGTCAACGAGTAGCACAGTAGAACGAGGTGACAAAACGTTGTCAGGGTGGGTTACGTTAGTAAAACGTAAATTGGTCCACTCGAATGAGAATAAAGTCTTCCTGATAACACTGACGATGGAAAAACCTTATTACAGTAGTGTAATCTGTTGATCAGAGCTTGTTATTATTCTAGCAAAAGATAGGAGTGTTCTATTATATACAAACAAACTATTGATTATGAGGTTGAACGAAGTATTTCTCACCGTTCGTGGTCTAGCAAGCGATAACCATGTAGCCAGAACAAGTAGATTTTGATTTGACTGATAAGAAACAAGTGATTTTGACCTCAGTTAAAAAAAAAACACAGAACGAGTGCTACATTTGTTAATTATTATTGTGGTACGATTCTAGCTGGCAACAAGCCAGCACCGTTAAGGATCTCTTTTCTGCATCGTTATGGTAGACAAAAGTGCGAACTATCGCTTGCTAACTAGTTCCAACTAATAAACGGGTTCCATTGGTCAATAGTTAAATCGTAACGTGTCTTTATCTCTATTCCTAACTTCGCTCCTCTGTTTCTTTTCGGAGAAATGTGAGCCTTTATGAGCAGTCTCACCAGACGATTTTACCTTTGTCCATAACTTAAAAGAAAAGCCATATGTGAAAAATCATAGAGCAACTGTTTTCTTTTTCAATTCAAATGAATCTAAGCTAATTTCTAGATCCAATCATCGATTGACTGCGTCAACTTTAAGAAGTCCAAGGTCCGAATCTTACTCGCTCCGAATAACTAGACGACAAGCAATATAGAATCACAGAAGGTAAAGTATTGCTAATTATGAACTAAGGTTGGGATATACTAATTTGACTTTGTTCAAAGTATTTGCCCTATATATACTTATAGCCGGCACTGTGGAGATACAATTAGCTTCAAAAAAGCTTTTTTATTAATAACGGTTTTAACTTCAGGGAAATTATGTCATCTCAAATGAGTGGGCAATCTTTAATCGCTAAAGAACATCGCAGTCCCATTGTTCACGCAAAATGCCATGATTAGATCAATACTAAGACACGGTACAACATGCTTAAAAGCTTTCGTTTTCACAACATTTCACTAAGCAAAGGAAACTTTTTTTAACATTAAACTCTTTTTTTTCTTTAGTTTAGTGAATACAATGGTTCAATGCTGCAGTATAGTTACTCATACCTTCTATGGAAATTGTGACATCAGGGAATTAACGAATACGAATAGGGTAAACTTTTACCTTCTATACAGATACCCTACTAGCATTAGAGCTTGAAATAATATAACACTATTCTCAATTTACTATTACTAGATTAATATCAGCTTCTCTGGGAGCTATTTAAAGATAATTTGGTTACCAATTATAGTTATGGCTGTACGACTGACGTTTTGTCGAGAATTTGGTTTGTCCTTGAAGCGTCGTTGTTTCAGGTATCTTGAAGAAGCTTAGGTACAGAGACGTTACCACGTAAACGTGTACAATCGCATTCATTCGGATCCGGTCTTGACTCATTATTTTAATACAGATAGCTATAGGCAATCTTGTCGATTATCGAATTTAATATCTGATTTGTATGTACCTAATATTATATGGTCCATAATAATGTTTTTCAACAAATACATATTTAGTATGTATTTGTTAGATAGGTTTATTTGACTGAGATATACAGTTGTATAGTGCCGATAGTTCGCTTGGAAATACCGAGTTGAGTGGCCATTTCAGCGTGTTAGCTTTAATTTCTCAAACATCCAACAAACTGCTATTAGACTGAAATTGTTGGTGAATACTATTTCGTGCATTTAAAACTTGCCACCCATCGAGCGGCTCGATTCAAAATATCGTCAGCCTTAGACTTCATCAACGAAAACACTAGCCAATAGCAAATAGCGTGTACTAAATGGCCTTAAACATCTTGGCCTACGGCACCCAAATTTTCTGATGCGCAATGGCATGTCTTATAGTATTAAAACGTATTATAATTCTTTGTCTATTATACTTACTGTATCGTATACAGTTTACTGATGGCCATTGAAATCGTTTAGGGGCATCGTTTAGGGTAGAAACAAGTGGCTGTTGGTGGATCGTGACTTCAACCCTCCACCGATTCTCATCACTATTATCTTGACTGACGGACTAACAATTGAAAGCTAGTAGTATCTTTGATTTGTCGTTAGCGCCTGTCTTGATTAACTGTATCCATAGCCGAAAGGTTTATTTTGACCAAACGACGGGTGAGTTAGACGCAAAACACGATAATCTGGCTGCAAAGAAAAATTAACGGATTAGTGGACTCGAACATCCTATGCTGCGATAACACTGAAATTTGTTGAGCGAGATACCGCAGCGAAGATTACAGGATTCGCGTTAACACGATACGGTAGCTTATGTTAAGTATAAGAGAACAAAAGGAAAGTTGAAATTGAACGTTGGGTTGGCCTGAATAGGAAAATATGCTGCTGTAACCCCACGACCAGACGACGTACTACGACGCCCAGAAAAAGGTATTTAACCCATCGAGGTAGTACCTGTAGTCAAGTGTTAGTGACGAATGAGGCAAAGCAGGATGAGTTTGACAAATAGCACCCAGATGATTCTCATAGTGTAACATTTGTCGGTGAAATTCAGTCAGCTGCTAATCTACATTCTTCCCTATCAAGTGCATTAATACTCCACTGCATGTACATACGCTATACGTTACATGTGCTTAGTTTTACGTATATAGCAGGTTTTTAGTATTGTCTGGCAGATGCTGTTTGCACCTCGTTAAGTGTAATTTGTTGACTCTCCATGTTGAGCTACTAACACATAGATGTCTTCAAAACCGTGCATGCTTTCGCGGGCCTCCAGTTCTCATGCGTTCATCTGCAAAACAGCTGGCAGCTCTTGCTTAGGCGCGAATCGAACTCGCACGGTGCGGGTTGCTGCACGGTGCAACTATATGTCAACGTTATGTCATGACGAACTGTAATGTAGTTACTTTCATTGACTAAAATGTATCAAAAACTTACAAGGTGGAGGCACTTTTTAGTTGTTTGTGTTGGCAGTAGTAGTCATTTCTTATAGAAGTGGCTGATACAAAGTGTAAACGACGGTCCACAGATGTTCTCACCGTCAACTTTCTTGCGACGTCTAGGATCCGTTGTTCACAGAAGGCTCCGTTTGGATTCGCTTGCCCCGTAGAGCTGTTTCCTCAGACGGGTTGCTTTGTCGCGGACGGCGACTATGCGAACGAACGACTGACCGATTAAATTAAACTCAGTGCTCATCGATATTTTTTCAACAGTAAGAGCTTTAAAGCAGTTTTTTTTTTTGCCTTTGACTTAGTTGTCCTTGAGGCAATATCAGTTTGTCTGACGTATTGTTTTATTATAATGACTTAATTTTTCTCATTGGCTATTGACCGCTTAGATGGGTCCACGAACAGCAGTGCACGTTATAGAAACAAGCTACTAGACGAAGACTAAAGTACAAGATGCTGCTTATTTATGGTCGGAAATGTAATCACAATTATTACACCGAGATTCAATAGTGGAAAAAATTTAATTCTACTTTGGCAGTGTTGTGATGTCCATAGTGTTTACATCAGAGTCGCACAAAATACAAAGTTATTTGCTTTCGCATGTTCGTAAGCCGTAGTGTGTTGAATGTCGAATTGTTTTGCGACATAAACGGATAAAGGTCAAGTTAATTACAACTTATTTGGCTTTTTTATATTTCATATTTATATTATATGCAGGCTTATTATTTCAACATAACTGATTTGAATTCTTCCAGCAGTTATACTCTTAAGCTATAGGTCTTGCTGTTTTATCGAATTTTGCTATTGATATGTTTATAAAATTGCCTTCACATCGAAAAACCCTGGGCCTTCACATTCAACCTGATGTCACACTAAGCATCCGGCGTATTTAAGGCTTAATGAGCACTATTATAGATATACACATGGTCAGTATTATACACATGGTCAGTATTTTTTGAAATTGAATAAGTGCCAGTCAGAGAAATGCAATCACTACAGGAATTAGTCCACAAAGTACTGCTGACACCTGCTCATATGTGAACGAATGATGTGAAGTCAAAAGTTCAAATAGCTATGCTTTAATGTAATGTTCTTTCCTTAGTTGCAAAGATAAATCAACGATTTCTTGCTATATACTTTCCTTTTTTACAAAAAACACTTGTACTATATTTATATTTTTTGTCAATCAAACAAATAACGATATTTTATCATAATTACTCCATAAAGATTAGGTTAAGCTGACAGCTTTGTATATAAGTAAATATGGCCTCAGTCTAAAGCACCTATAAATAAGAGCAATAGTAATACTTATATCATTAGTTCATCACAGACATACTGAAATTACACATGCATCACGCTGATATTGTTCGTGTTACGCGGTGAAATAACTAATCTAAACCAATCGCCGATACAACTCACACCTGCAAGCCACATTGATACGGGTGTGACTGTTAAAAAGTAATGCTAAATAACAATTTGTTGTCATATTGATTAGCTTGTAATACCGTATACAATATTAATGGGCGATGTCATCTGTTTCGTACAGGACCAATGAATATGTCATCACAGGCTAAATTCGATGAGCGAGACCAGTCCGGACGAAAGGGTGCCGCCTCCTCCTTATCGGCTGCAACATCTGGCGGACGCGCGCCCCGCGTCATGTACCTTGTCTTTAACTCGCTAATCTTTGATCTTCTTGGCTTCACCATGATCTTGCCACTCCTGCCATCGCTCCTTGATTACTACCGTAAACAAGACGGCAGTCCTCTTTATGCCTGGATGGAGAGCGTCGCAGGAACCTGGCGTCGCACCTTTCTCGTCTCCACCACCGAAGACGAAGTCAGCGATATCGTTCTTATAGGCGGCCTGCTCGGATCAATCTTTTCTCTGCTACAGTTCGCTACATCCCCGATCGTAGGTGCTCTATCGGATGTATATGGGCGCAAACCTCTTCTGTTACTTAGCAACCTGGGTTCCCTAGCATGCTATGTTCTTTGGTCGGCGTCATCGAATTTCGAAATGTTCGTCGCTTCACGCATTATCGGAGGTGTAAGCCGCGGCAGCGTATCCATTTGTACGACGATAGTGGCTGATGTTTGTTCACCCCAAGTTCGAGCCAAAGGAATGGCCTTGGTTGGTGCAGCGTTTTCGGTTGGCTTTCTTATCGGCCCGGTGATTGGTGCAATGATGGCAAGATCCTCCGATTTCTGGGTGACTCCGGCCCTGTTGGCAATAGGAAGCACATCTCTTAACATGCTTATCATAGTGGTGCTCTTCAGCGAGAGCTTGCCAGCTTCAAGCCGCTCTGGAAGTATTCGACACAGCATGGCCACAGCTCTCGACTACATCAACCCCCACTCATTATTCACGTTTAAACCAGTGCAAAAGCTGAATGCGCGAGACAAGGCACACCTAACAATGACAGGCTTTGTTTATTTTACATACCTGCTGATCTACTCCGGCTTGGAATACACCATTTCCTTCCTGACCCACTCGCGTTTTGATTATTCGCGAATGGACCAAGGGAAAATGTATTTCACTATTGGACTCGTCATGGTTATTATTCAGGGAGGCTTCGTTCGACGAATTCCACCTCGCCTCGAATTGAAGGCTGCATATTATGCCATTGGCTTATTAATACCGTGCTTCTCGATTATTGCCATAGCACAATCGACGCTTGTCCTGTATGTAGGCATCCTGCTATATGCTTTGTCGACAGCGTTCGTTGTTCCCTGTTTGACATCCCATGTATCCCGCATAGGATCACGCGATCAAAAGGGCACTATCATTGGGATTCTGCGATCAATCGGAGCTCTAAGTCGTGCTCTAGGTCCACTTGTGTTTTCCACAATCTATTGGTCTCGAGGAGCGTCGTTTTGCTATCTACTTGGTTCGCAGCTTTTTATCATTCCGCTTTTCTGTATCCGCTCGAAGCTCTTATCATCAATAAAAGAAGATTAATTAGAATAGGTAATATATAAAGTATTTGATATTTCTATTATTGTTGCTGTTATATATGACACGTACTTACCTCTTCAACATCACAAGTATTTGAAAACAGATTAACTCGTAGTGTCGATCTAACCAAAAGTCAATGTAATAGGTTTCTTATATTATTTTCTTTTTTATATACATCGATCTATATATTTCGCCCTCATAGCTTGAATAATATACTAAATTTCCGCTGTAAATAATGTATACAAACCATACAAAGTCGAAATGCGATTAAATATAGCTATGATCGATTTTTGATACCTAATTAAACGAATTTCATCCAATTGTCTGCGTATTAAAAAAGAGGTATAAATGCGATGCGTTATCTGCTAAAAATAAAAGCATAGCGGAAATGTATATTTGCGCGTCTTTCGATCGAACGTAACCTCTCAGTAGACTTACGTATGCACTGAAATCATTAAATTGACAAGCAGAACTTAATAGTAGTGATATTACATTGCAGTTTTTATATAGAGTTTTAATAATCGTAAATGCAAATATAATAAGATAATAATAAAAGAAACGCTTAGGGATAATGTTCGATAACGGGTAAAATACCTGCAAATCTCTCAAAACCTTTTGTTTTATAACTAACAAATGTACATTGTACTTCTTACAAACCGCACTACAAAGGAATAATAATGTGGTGAACAGGCGAGTTTCAGGAACGAACCGACATGCCTGAAGTTGTACCATTACAAAGACATTTACTATTAGCAATGAAAATTTCAGCTTCGCAAATATCAATGCATCACTGACGTCTTCATGTATCAAATAAGTACGGCTCATAAAGGCCTGCATCAAGAGCTAACAAAAACAGATGGTTCTATCAACCGTCAAACGGAATAAAATTATAAGTTCGTTTGCTTTCTATCGTCTACTTTGTTTAGATAAGATGTTTACCTTTAAAAAAATATGCCATTACGTATAAAGCTTCGAGCTTTCGAAATAGCGAATCAATACCACCATAGCAGTGGTATTGATTCGCTCCATATAAATTCAAATAAATCCAAAAAAATAATAATAAAAAATAAAAAGTGATTAGATGGGGGTCATAAGCCAAACGCAAACGTGTAGAATGGTTCTTATTTTGCTCTATTTCACGGACTTTCACTGGGAGTCCTGGTTCTGTACTGACTCAGACCTCTATGCGTACAAAGTGGGTATGCAAGAAGTAAATATATAGTAGGCAAACGACAGTTTGCCATAAGTGCTATAATTCTGCTATCTGATTGTTATTCTAAACGAAATGATGGGGCCTAACTCGTACCAATTAAACAACCAGTATTTAAACATTGTTACCAAAAATAAAGTGGTAACATTATTGCAGTGTTTTTCGAGATAGAATGACTTGTTAGTTTGCGTCTTATTCACGTTGCACCGTACACGCTACTATCATGTAATAATTCCGTATTATACGTGCGCGTATTCTAAATATTAATAACTGCCAACAAAACTAGATGATTAAGACAAATCAGACGGCTGGAGCTGCATTATTCCGATGGTTGTATCTGCATTGAAATTCGACGCGTAAATGCGCCTCCATGTTTCGAGTTTAAGGTCCGGTAGTGCCCTTAAGCATTTCATCAAACGGCAATGTAAATGCACCTAGACACCAAAATAATAACACCATAAAAAGGCATAAGTTGACCAAAAAATCGGTATGATTCAACCTTTCAAGATAGAATTAATGAAATGAACGCAACTTTTGGATTATTTTTAAAGCAAACTACTGCACATGATTAAGTAGGAATCAAAATAGGATATAGGTTGCGTATGCTCCTGTAAGGTTGAACTTATCATACAGGGTTCATATTCCTTACTGGATTCACAAAATTAACTGTCCTGAAAAATCATATAAAATGTATAAAGCCATATGCAATGGTTGCCTTATTCCAAGCATTTAAGTATATTGAATCCATTGGTCTTACAGTCTGCCTTATATTTACTATAATATCTTGTAAATCTTTTAAATTAATATAACATGCTTTTGGTTAATTACAAAGTCAGTAATTCGTGTGTTTGTTTGCATCATGTCAATATGAGAATTCAGAAAAGATCAATCTGTCCTCGACCACTACGCACTGTGGCGATTTAAAAAAAGAAAGAATCTCTATATTCGTCAGCTATATATATCTAAGCCATTAAAAGTTCATTCATTATCCTTACGACTAGATGTGCGTATCTTTTTGGCTGACAATGCATAGCTCGATTAAAATAAAAGTTAACATTGTTTAAAATATTACGCAATTCTTAAATAATTACATAGTAATTTCTCAACAGGAATTGTAGATCAATTTGTAATGATCCACAGCAAAGTCGCAAAGCATGCCTAGTTATCACTGTGCTTATGGTTCACTGTATGGGTGATCGGATAAGTGTAAATAGTTAAATGTAATACATTTTACTTTTACAGAATTTTTCAGCTTGTCCTAGTTTCTCTACTTGTTTGTGTCATGCACACGTACCATTAAATCAACTAAATTAACTCTCATACCCTGTTGGTCAGACAGTTAGGGAATACTTATCTTCGTCACGTCTGTTCGTATCGCCTGGGAAGGCAACAGTAGCGACTAAAGTTAACCTCGAAAGTCCGTTTTAGTAGTGGTATTCTTCAATAGTATGGAGAATATGTATTGCGGATTGACAAAGTACGATATTAATACCGCATATGATATGAACTATTCATTATGCATCAATTCATTACATAATATGACGCAAGTTATGCGCTATGCCAAAAACTCAGAAGTCGTGAGCAAATTGGAACGTTGTTTATAATAGACGATAAATTGTTGCTCGTACCATTAATGGTTCTTTTATCTTCTAGCAGGACAAATTTACGAAGAATTTGTTTTGTGCTACATGTCTGCTAGCTGAACTTAGTGCCCATATTTTGAACAACATTAATTGACATAGATAAAGTGGCTTACATCGGAAGTTTGGTCGATTCAATCACCTGATAAAGTTATCAAGGAAGCTTGTGAAGTTCCCGATATGAATGAATACTGGCAGAACCGAAATGAAATTGCAAAAATGGCAATCTAGTGAAATCTGCACTGGCATCAAATATATCGTTCACTATTTACTACTGAAAAACGCTTGTAATTAGGAGCAGGTCTGTATCTTTAACAATTGGAGGGATAATGTTGCTTTAAAACTACATGTTATAACGCAAGATTTTCCATTAGATATGATACTTTCTGTCGCGCAACTAATGTCAATATTTGGAAGATATATTAAGATTAACATGTTTGGGTATTATGTGTGAAAGGCTATGTACTACAAGCTTGAGCTTGTGGCAAAATAATGGAGATTTTAACCATATATTGACTGGACCTGGGGCATATTTCTTAAATAATCGCGCCTTCTCTTTTTGTTTGGAAATGGAGGTCGCTTTTATTTTACCAGAATCAGTAGTAAAGAAGATAAAGTACTCTGTGAGACTTCTGCTTATTACCCATAAAGTTGCATAACTTCCTAGAAACTCTGTATATTCTAGCGCCTTCTCTTAGATGCAGTCTTGTCAACGCAACGTATGTTATTATTCTGCACTGAAGTGTTCAAGTGCTGCTTCTAAGCAGAATCGTTGCTTCTTAGCCGGAACCCGGGTTGGACCCCGGTAGCAGCAGAAAAGTCATGGTAACAACGAAGCTTGGGTAGTGGCGTGGTCGCTTTCCGTTTGACAACCTCTTTTGAATTCATGGTTGAAAACAGCCCATGTAGTGAGTTACCACCTCTCACTAATGAATTTCACTTAAGTAATGTGGTCTTAATAGGCAAGAGGATTGATGCCATGGTGGTTATATCCTCCGTTTCGCTAGCCTTTGCTTTCGGCTGTTTTTTTGCTTACTTCCGTTACCATTTGTTCCATCGCTCCATATTCTAGCGACGTCGGACGCTATTCGCACGGAAAAACAAAACTAAACGAATACCGAAGATTCCGAAGAATTCTAATGGAGCGAAGGCCATACCAGTTACACACAATACTTAGGTCAGCTTGTGTCCTGCCAAAGGTACTATGATAGCACCCGATATTTTACAATTTTGGAGGCAGGCTGACCGACGCCGCCATCAGTGATTTGTCGCTACAATCCGTGTTCATCATGTGAAGAAGATAGTGCGGTAGAATCATTGCAGCTTGTTGAAAATCTCATGTTTCCTGTTAAAGATACTGTAATGCATTCATGGACATCAGCAATCGAATCTAATGCAAGGTCTCATAAAAGCAGCGCACTATCGCATTAAAATAGTGTAAAATGTTATAAGTGATGGCGTTTTTTCAACTTTTTCCTTTTCTCTTCACTTTCAGTTGTTTGTTATTTTCTATAGGTCATTCTAAAGAGCTTTTTAGATACACCTGTCACTATTTCATTATGCAGTGAAATGAAATCGAAAATCGCCGCATTCTTTGATACCTGCTCTATTTCATTTTTTGCTGAAATAAAAAGCTAACAAAGCACGCTAGGGCATTTGTGCCGTGGGTTACGGGCCTGACGGGATTACTAAAGGTGATTCGTTAGCTTCAATAAAAGCATTTAGGAACTAAAGGATGCATCCGTCCCCGTCAACCATTTGGTCATTTATAAGAACTGCTTAAAGATAGGTTAGAAGGAACACAATCTTCTCGAATCGGCTCGGAATATGTTCAGCAATCATATTACTGTCAGATTAAGCCAATAATAGGCGAAAGCTACAGGTGAATACGGCTTTTTATTGTCTCTCAACATTTTGCCCTGATCCGGAGAACAAGCAGCCACAGTTACAGGTTTCTACGAAATATCGGAAAGCACTAATCTTGGCTGATCTATTTTTATCAAGCACCCGTCGTATAACTTGTCGAACAGGGCTAGAAGCATCAACCTCTAGTCAATCATTGTTCCATTTTGCTTTAGTATTCGAACTCATAAGAAGACAATTTTTTCAATTCAGGGGATTTATCCAATAGCTGTCACCACTCAGTCTGTTGCACCTGTGATTTCTCATATAATCGAGGTGGACAAAACTGATGGTACTTATAAAAATGAAAGATACTATTTAACAGAGAGATCTAAAACTCACACGGCAGCGATTTTTTTTTATAGAGATCAGTCATGAAGATAAAAAAAAAACCGTGATAGATCGTCGTCAGGTTCGCTTGCAAAAGTGATAATTAAACTCAAAAGAGAATATGTTTAATTGATTTCTCATGCTGCACAATGCTTACCATCAAAATACTGAAGTTATCTATAACGTTATTTGGAAAAGTACTCCTCCTCCGCCCGTTCGATGCCAAATGAGAAGAGTGCTCCCGAGAACAAATCCTTTGTACGTTGTAATCTAAATTCGCTTCTGGTACAAATGATAAGCCACAACGATTGATCAAAAACCACTACGGTGTGCTTTGGATCCCGTTTTTCCTTTTGATCCAACATCTCTGAAATCATAACTCACAAGCCGCTGCGTAGATTTTTTATGAATATAACTCTATTTAGAAGTTCGTAGAGTCTGAGAAAGGTGACAACCAAACATGTTCATTACTTAAGTCCACGAGTCATAGTGTTATCATTTGAGTAGGAAAAGCGAGGACTGCTCTGCCGTTCGTAATTGTTTGCTAAACAATTTTGTAATGTGAAACTCGCAACAATGCCTTTTGAAGGGTCTTCTCTGTCTGTGTTTATCAGCTAAAATTTTTGCCCACACCATACGTAGCTAAAATTTAAAAAAAAAAATGCTTGTTGAAACCTTCGTGCATCAGAAATTGGACGAGGCATTTTATCTAGTCAACATTGCGTTGCGTCGAATAGATCTAACGCCTGCAACAATAATCTCCACACTGTTAATATCACCTACTTATAGAGGTTTCAATTCGTTCCTATTTAAGCGACTTGAA